CATTTCTAAAAAGCATGTAAATCATCATCTCAAAGTGAATCATGTTTTTATATAGGAACAATGTTAGGATTGGAGATGGTATCCTGGTCAAGGATTTGGCGTCATGTAAATCTTAAATGTGATCAACAGTGCTACAAAAAATAGATGCCCACCAACAAAACTCTAATTGCTTAAAATGAAAAAAATCATGCCCTAAGTTTCAGTTATCTTATTTAGCAGCTAGAAGGAACTTTCTGATATCAGTTAACCTAATCACTTTTATTTTATATATGACTAGAAGACCCAGAAAGATAGAGTAACTTATTACACAGATAGTTATTGACAGAGTTGGGATTGGAACCAGGCTTTCTCAACTGAAAGTCTTCATTTGTACAGTCGTTCCTCCATCCATGCATCTTATCTCTGCACACAACTATCCATTCTTTTGTCCATCTATCCCTGCATTCATTTGTCCATGCATCCATCCATATATGTATATGTCTGTAAGTCTGTCTGTTTATCCATCCATCAGTGCATCCAATATTTACAAAGTGTCAACTATATGCCAGGCACTGTGCTAACATAAATGCTGGAGTCACAGTTTGTCAGGAGAGAAACTTAAAATCATAATAGAGTGTGATAGGTACAGTGACAGTGATGAACAAAGGGTGCTGCAGGAGCATGAAGGGCGCTTTCTGCAAAATCATAGAATCCCTGAAAAAGAGTCTTCAAAAAGTAAACATAAATGTTCTTCATAGTTATATAGAGTCCCAGTGTGGTGTTAAGTGTGTATAGATAGCATGAATTTTGTGTATATATTGGGTTATGTATATACTAAATTGATCCATTTACAATGAATGTCCAAGCCATAATAATTCTGTTTTTGTTTTTAGGATTTAAAAGAGGTTTTGTAGGGTATCTTAAAAACAAAAAAGCAAAGCCAAAAAACGAATATAAGCCTTCCTGGTTTCCTTTCATTGTACAGGTTTCTCCCCGCCGGCACCCACCCCCCCCCCCGCTTTCATTAAAAGAATAATTCAAGTATAGTGCAGAAAAGTTGGAAAACTACAAAGAACTCCTATCTCATGAGTCCACTACTCAGAGATAATCATTGGTAACATTTTAATGTCTATTCTTCCAGTTCTTTTCCATGTTTTTATAAAACATTTTTTTAATAAAAATGGAGGCACTGTTGGACATTTATGAAGTTTATCAGAACAAATAGCACCATGATAAACATTCTTATATACATCTTGACATAAATTATAGTTACTTAAATAATTCCTGAAGCAGAAGTTCAGCACACTTTTATGGCTCTGTGGAGAGGTTTCCTATAGCAAACTATGCCATATAAGAGCATTTCATTGAAGAATATTCCCCAAATCAGCCACTGCTATATCACAATATTCAAAGATACCAGCAAGGACTGAATGAGTTTTGGAAAGACTTCTTTTGAATTTGGCCCTTTCCTTTAACCAGCCCTTCCTCTCTTCCAACAGCAAGGAGAGCTTTGCAGGATAAAGTAACAAAAAGACATCTTAAGGGGTGTGAAATCAGAGGAGGGCATGGCTATAGGTTAATTATATACCAACCCAGGGTTTTTGTTACCCCCAGCTACCTGAAATCACCTCAACTCTCCCCTCTCTGCTGCCTCCTTAAACAACTTTCCAGATGGCATTTTGTTGCAGACAATGATATGTGGATAAAAGAATAAATAATTAGAAATTTGTATCTGCAAAGTGATGAAATAGTTTAAAAAGGAGGGCTAATTTTATTAGATACTGATTCTGTAGTTTGATCAAGTTGTCATGTAATGGTAACTATATTTCTTTTCTTTTTTTTTTTTTTTCGTGTCCGGCAACGGATCGCAACCCTCAGTGTCGCGCCCATACCGGGCCGAGACTGGCAACGGGATCGCAACCCTAGGTGTTGTGTCCGCACCTCGCTCAGCCAGTGAGTGGGAACCGGTCTGTATGTGGGATCCTAACCCTCGGCGGGAGCGCCGCCGCGCTCCCAAGCGGCGCACTGTAGCAGTGCACCACCGGGCCGGCCCAAATTTCTATAATTTGACTAACAGAATAGAAGATTATGGCATCTGTTTTATGGTTTTTTTTAATAAAAATTCCGTTAAGCATATATTAAAGATTAGTATGAGTAGAACTTTTAAAAAAGATTTACATAATTTTCATTGATGTTTTTAGAAGTAATGTAGTTGGCATCTTTAAAATAAAATTGGCTTTTTAAAAATGTAATTGACTTTTCTTCTCACCATATTAAATTGCTGCTATTAGTCACTAGATAAACTGCTATGGATTTTCCTTATCCTTGAAGAGTTTGAATTTGCCTTGAAGTTTTTTAAAGAGTTAGATGTCTTAGGACTGCTTTTTAAAATTCAGTTCATTTCTTGTTTGAATGAAGCATGTCTTTTCAGGAAATTTTTTCGAGTGGTTACATGAGTGGTATATTTTCCAAGTCTCTATAATAAATAAGAACATTTTTTCCATTTTTTTTTGCACATGGCTACCTGAGCTGGCTGTCAGTTCTGTAAGCACTACTCCATTATCNCCTTAAACAACTTTCCAGATGGCATTTTGTTGCAGACAATGATATGTGGATAAAAGAATAATAATTAGAAATTTGTATCTGCAAAGTGATGAAATAGTTTAAAAAGGAGGGCTAATTTTATTAGATATTGATTCTGTAGTTTGATCAAGTTGTCATCTAATGGTAACTAAATTTCTATAATTTGACTAACAGAATAGAAGATTATGGCGTCTGTTTTATGTTTTATTTTATAAAAATTCCGTTAAGCATATATTAAAGATTAGTATGAGTAGAACTTTTAAAAAAGATTTACATAATTTTCATTGATGTTTTTAGAAGTAATGTAGTTGGCATCTTTAAAATAAAATTGGCTTTTTAAAAATGTAATTGACTTTTCTTCTCACCATATTAAATTGCTGCTATTAGTCACTAGATAAACTTCTATGGATTTTCCTTATCCTTGAAGAGTTTGAATTTGCCTTGAAGTTTTTTAAAGAGTTAGATGTCTTAGGACTGCTTTTTTTAATTCAGTTCATTTCTTGTTTGAATGAAGCATGTCTTTTCAGGAAATTTTTTTGAGTGGTTACATGAGTGGTATATTTTCCAAGTCTCTATAATAAATAAGAACATTTTTTCCATTTTTTTTTTTTGCACATGGCTACCTGAGCTGGCTGTCAGTTCTGTAAGCACTACTCCATTATCTTCTGGTATTTAACGTGCAGAGAAGTCAATGTGGTGCCTTCTTTAATTATGGCTTCTTCTTGTTGATTTACTCTCTAAAGGTTGGTGGATATTCTCCTGTCTTCCTGACTAGTCCACTCTCTAGACACTGTAGAGATTAGAGACAAGGAGTTTACTGTGCAGTTTGCTCAGAAGGCTCAGAACAGAGAGGAATTAAAGCAAGTCTAAAAGTTTTTTAGTTGAAAAGAAAATGGAACCTGGTTCCTCTTGGTCTGATTTTGATCCACAAAGAAGCTGACACAAAGTTTTCTTCTTTATGGATAGGTAAGATTACATTTGCGTGGTTTTAGAATATGATCTTTTACTTTAGCAGTTTGAGAATTGATCTTACTACAGAAAAAAATTAAACTATAGATAGTATAAGGTATATATACATAGACAAGATGAAAGACAAGACATAGTTTTCCTGTCATTGAATTCAAATTGTTAGAGATCTTTACATCCAAGAAGGCAGAAGGAAAACTGATGGCATCACTGTTGCTCAGTTTATGGATTTCAAAAAATGTAGAGTGCATTGGATGACAACTTTCAATTGGTGCAGATACATGGAACATTTTGGGTTTGCGTGCCTTCTTTCCACAAATAAGGTAGAGGGAAGGCTTTTCTTTAAAGTTACTTACTTTATTCTTTCTCAGTACTATAGAGGTTGCCCTTCTAAAAAAAGAAAAATAAGTTAATCGTCATTATTTGTTTCTATGCACTTTCCCTCCAAAAGAGGTGGGTAAGAAAATCAATTTGGGGGGCCGGCCCGGTGGCGCACTGCTGCAGTGTGCCGCTTGGGAAGCGCGGCGGCACTCCCGCCGAGGGTTCGGATCCCACATACAGACCGGTTCCCGCTCACTGGCTGAGCGAGGTGCAGGGAGCAACGCCGAGGGTTGCGATCCCGTTGCTGGTCCTGGGCCGGTACGGGTGCGACACTGAGGGTTGCGATCAGTTGCTGGTCATGAAAAAAGACAAAAAGGAAAAAAAAAAAATCAATTTGGGGCCCCCTTCTAAGTTTGTGGACATTGTACATCCTGGGCTTGTGGGTGTATTTATGACTGTTTTGGGGCTTCTCTCAGGAGAGTTTGGGGGACACAATTCCTTGTTACTCTGCTTTAGTTTATGGAGGACAAAATAAGATTAAAGCTTCATGTTATTGTGTCTTCCATTTGTATTTTTTTTTTCCTCCAGTAAGTCAATACTTCCTGCCCTCCCATCAAGTATTTAGAAGTATCTGGTCTCCCTCAGCTAGTTCTCTTACAAGTTTCCCTCATAAGCAGCATTGGGTTTATTTGAATTACAGACCACCTCTTTTGCAAAATTAAGGTATTAAACTGAATACAGGTTTTAGAGTAGTACAAAATAAATTTTTCATTGAAATGAGGATTTAGGGAAAAACTTCTTTGGCTCAAAGTATAAACAATCCCTGAAAATATCAGGAAGTGGCAAGACTGGATAAGCAAGCAGCATGAACATTTGTGTAGGTTTCCAGGAGAGGTAGTCCTTAGGTTAACAGCTTCCTGTGTTATGAAATTGTAGGCCAGTGGGACTAGGAGGTCGCAACATGGTGAGCCATGATTTTGTTCTCCAGCCTCAGTTAGGCATTCAGTGCTGCTTAGGATGTGTACCCGCCACCCCAGGTTTCTTTAGCTCTCCCAAGGTCTATTTCAGACTTTTCCCCACTCTTCTTGTCTGACCTTTCTATCCCCAGCTTCTATTCTAAGCAGTAGATAGTTGATTTTTACTTCCCTAAGTTTTAAGATGTTGTTAAATGAAGTAATGTGAAAAACTTATTAATCTTATTTAAAACAGTTTTGATTTACCAGATGTTTACATTTTGCCATATTTTTTCTTTCACATACACACATATTTTGCTGAATCATTTACAAGTTACTTGCAGACACTGATTCTTATAAATGCTTTAGTGTGTTTCTCTTAAAAACAATGGCACTCTTCTACATAGCTGAAAAACAATGATTACACACAAGAAATTTACCATTAAAATAATGCTATTATCTAGTATTTAATCTATATTTAACATTCCCCAGTTGCTTCAATGTCCTTTATAGCTTTTCAGTTGTTGGATCCAGGCAGGGGCCATTCAAGGATAATGTGAATCGATATAGTCCCTTT